CACCGCCCCCCCCCCTGGGGGGGGGGGGGGGCGGCGCCACTCGTCGTGTTGGGGAAGCAGAAACAGGATGACGGCAGTTACTAGTTGCTGCCCGATATGCTGATGTGGCTGTATCAGCTATCTACATACACACACAAAATAAAACTTGGACCTTCAATACACCTTTGCCTACGAACCTAGATGACAGGCCAAGATATTCTAATAAAGAACTGTGTGTGAAGATGCATTAGCTATTAGCTGTGCTATATCTGTCTGCGACGTCTCACTTTGTATATGCTTGAACTCGAGGTCCGATAGTAGACAATTAGTTCGAGAGAGCTATTTGATGAACATCCGTCTCGACTTATCTTCTCAATGCTCGTCCCATGCGCGTCATGAATTGGCTCGGCTGTCAGCACACGGCACGTGTTTGCTGCATTTGCGAGCCGGGCTTCAACACCATCATTGCGTGCATGCAGCTCATCAACCCCGACACCTTCGGACAAGCACCAAGCTACCAGAATATGCCATTACTCCAGATTCCCGTCGTACGGCCATGGAAAATGGATACACCAAAATCAACCAGCTTCATGTCATCCTCATCTGTATAGCTCGACAGGGCTGGCAATGACCGTCGGGCTTCCTTGACGCTGGAGGCAATTTCGCCGTGGATCTCCTCTATGGGCCCTTCCTCCGACTTCCGAGCCTGAAGTACAAGCAACAGTCTAAATTTTGTCCTCAGGATGTCTTCATCCCGCCAGGCCATTGTGACGCAACTGTTTGTGAGAATTTCTTTCAAAAGAGCCCTACAGTACATCGTAAGATGAGAGAATATTCCTTTGTGGGCGGGTATTGAAAGGAATAATTAGTCAAATGAGAAGGCAACAACTTACTCGGCTTTTTCCAAGTTTCCGATGTTCTGATAGCATACGGCGAGACAGTACTGACTTGCCAAGGTCAAGTGATGACTACTGCCGTGAAGAGTCAGACGTTTTTCAAAAGTCTCTTGGTGCAGCCCAAGGGCTTCCTGAATGTCGCCGGTGGTAAACAAGGCCGTCGCCACAAGGAACTTAGTTTGTAGATGAAGGGGAGAATTCACGCCGACGGCTTCAGCGATGAGGGTCACGGAGCGGTCGGCGAGCTTCCGAACCTCAGTTCCTCTTTGAGCAACAGCAAGTGGGAGCAGCTGAAAGGAATATACATGTCCAAACCGAGAAGTGAGGGTTTGCTCGTTGCCCGCGAGCTTGTAGAACTCGAGTGCCGAGTCGAACCATGGCTTTGCATCTTGGACCCGATTCAGCTGAGATAGGCCGACGCCCATGTCGTTATACGTTCGTCCGAAGTTGACAAAGTCCAGTTGGGTCCACTGGTCACGGGGAACCGTTCCCTTCTGCTTCTTGCGAATAGAGAGCGCGCGCTCGTTAATGGATAGCGCCTTGTGCCTCCCTTCAATGCCTAGGTACTGGATCAGAACCTGCATGGGCCCTAGAACATCGCCTAGGACAGGATAAACCTCGTCGGGCTGGGATGCCAGGAGCGCTGTGCATATTGAGTCGGCCGTTTCGAGCAGACTGAGTGCTTCAGCCTGGATCGCGTTGTTTACGCCATAATAGCCCACGTCACTCAGCACCTTGGCAAACAAAAGTCTCTTTTCCATTGGAGGGTCAGACTGGGTGAAGACTGCGTGAATGCTCATGACCTGGATCATGTACCGGGCGCTTCGTTGATACTGGCTCGTGTCCCCCCGTGTGATGATATTCGCCACTGGAAAAGCTTTGCGCGCAATGCAAACGACCTCATCAAACACACTCTGTCTTTTTGGGAGGTCCGCATCAAGCTCTTGCAGAATGGCACGCTGCAGGGCTCGGTGTGTCTTGAGATAGTGGCCGACAGGCAAGGTGTACCGATCAACAAGATGCCGCTCGAGGAGGGGCTCGATCGCCGCATCAAATCTGAGAGGCGTTCTGTTAGTAGGGTAGCACTTATGTATGTGTGAATCCGGCTGTGAAAGAGGGAATACCTGTCGCTGTCCCAGTATCTCCAGCCGCCCGCAGTGTCTGCCGCGGATTTGGAGCCCACAAACATCTCGATGGGAACCTGGTCAGGGTCGAGAAAGGCAAGGAATTCCAGCAACTTCCTCGAGTCTCTGGAAAGTCGGCGGAAAGCCAAATCCCAGACGGTATTCAGAGTCATTTCATAGTCGCCATGCTGGAGAAGATTGCTGGTATTCCAGATCTGACTTGACTTGATGCGGTTGTTCAGGCTGCTGCAGATTTGATCGAGGGGACACTGCGACCTCGCGACATAGCCAGCAAAATGAGCAATGGCCAAAGGTAAACCGCCGAGGGATGTTGAGAGCTCCTGGGCGGCTTTCTTCTCGGATCCGCCTCGGTTCAAGAAGCTCTGAATGAGAGCACTACCCTCGTCCGAAGTCATTGCTTCCAAATGGATCTCTGACTTGGTACAGTGGGATAGCTGGGGGTTCTGTGTCGTTATGATGATGGCGCCGCGGTTTCCGGCAGGCAAGAACTTCCGTATGGTAGATGATGCCTCGGCGTTGTCAAAGACTAACAGCCAGGGGCTTACTTTGCGAAATATGAGCGATGGAGATCACATGTTCAATTTGAAAGGTTGCTAGGACTCACTCGTTGTCTGGAGCCAGTTCAAGACAGCTTGGACCTTCTTGTCCGGGCTTGCTGCCGTCTCAACAAGGCGGAGCTCAGCGACGACTTCCAGGAAGGACTCAAGGAGCGATGCGTTTGTCTGCGCTCGCACCCAGAAGATGTGGGTGTAGCAATGCCTGTACCGATATGTGTACTCTAGTGTCGTCTCGGTCTTTCCCATGCCTCCAATGGCATGGATGACGCACGAGCAGCGAGTTCGGAGAGACACATTATCTCCTTGAAAACTGGGGCTGAGTTCAGAATGAAGAAGTGCTAAGATGGCCGTCCGGCCTGTGAATCTGTGATTTCGGGGGATGCGGACATTTGTCACAGGATCCACGTGGAGATTGGAAGAGGACGAGATCGAGTCAATCTTGGCAAGAACCTCGGCGTGTCTTCTAAACTGCTCTTGCACATCTGCCAGGCGTGCCTCCTTTTCGAACTCGGTACTTGCGGATTTGAGCCAATCTTTCGTCCGCTCGAATTCCGCGCCAAGTCTCGACCACTTGACCCGTAACATTGCGTCTGGAGGGACAGAGTGTCAGTGAATTGGGAGAGATGGAACACGCCGTGGGCCCTTGCGTACAACATGTGCTCGACTGTAGAACTTCGATGGTTCTTAAGCAGAAATCGACGAAGCCATCGTACACCTCTCGCAAGGCCCGGTGGAGCTGCGGTGTGTGAAAAATCTCAGCGTAAGCTTGGAATCGTGGCAATTCCTTGGAAAGTTCCAAGAGCATCTGATTTGTCTGATCGAAGAGGTTCGAGAACTGGAGTACACCCTGTAGAGATGATGATTAGGGTTGGGGTTGTTGACACAAGGTGCGTTCGTGCAACCTACTTGGAAGATCAACGTCAGGCTTCCCCAGATCAGAGACGTGAGCATGCCAGACGTAGTCATTGTGCTCACGGTGGTGACAAAAGGTTCTATGGCCAAGAAAGTTCTCCTCAGTCGAGGGACGAACTGGGATAACCCGTTCGAATTGTACTCGGCGGTTAAATCCTGCAGGAATGTTTCGGGTGCCGACACATCGTAAAACTCGACGTCGAGGGTTATTGGCCGTTGCCGAGCCTGCAAAAGTTTGTCTTGAAGTGCTCGTTGCCAGAGATCCTGCTGATAATTGGCTCCTTCGTCCGCCAACAAATCTGTTGCTTTGTAGATGGGTTTCTCAGCCACCAGCCGACCCTTGTCGTCCGCCTCTGGGCTCGTTTCGCCAGCCAAGCCAGCACAGCACGCTAACAGGCAGCGGATATAGTCCATCGTGAAACGGCGAAGAAAAAAATCTCCTATGCGATGCCCCCCGGGGGAAATAACCGAAGAGCCGAACATGAGGGAGGGGGTCTTGAATAGCTCGACGCAGGGAGAGCGCAGAGCCTCAAGCTTCACGGGAGGACTGGGGGCGGGAATAATGTAACCAGACCTGCTCCACCTGAGGATCAGCTACAAGTCGTCACGCGACCTTGGATGCTGCTGAGATTCACCAGACAGCATGCACAGCCCCTGTCGCGCATGAGCCTAATGCGGGAGCTCCCGGGGCGGCAGGAATAGCTTTCCCGCTCGTAGTATTACTGGCACTGGGCCTTCACACCCCGCTCTATCCCTGCTGGTTCGCCTGCAACCTACTCCGTACTTAAGTAGTAACTTAGTAGGGACGTTCGAGATTCCGATTCTCAGCCCAAATCGGGGCCATTAGGCTGCGGAACCTTCCTGACAATCTTGGAGAGCTTCGGTGTTTACGGATTTGCATTCATGAAACAAAAGAGGATCAACAGGGTGTTATGCAACAATGCCCCTTCTCCATTTTGAGTGTGTTAGGGTGCAGCTTTTGTTGTATCTACTCTAGATTACCCCTGTCGAGTGTGTCTACCTGAAAACGCCGCCATTAATGTACTTGGGACGAGTTGTAACGCCTTGAATATTATGCATCATATATCATATGTCATATATCATAATAAATAAGTGACTATGCATGTACCTACTTGACTCTGAGTTCTCATTGGATATTATCCCCGCAAGAGACTTCGCCTGCACCCTCAACAAACCCACGTAGTTAGTTGGGGATTGTCTCGTGTAAATACCAAATTGGTCCATCACACAGTGCAATACAAAACGAGCTTTCTTGTTCTGCGCCCCTTTGTTGGATAAAATACCGTGTGGGGAAGCGCGCAAAACAGCCCAGCAGGTGAGGAAATATCCGGGTTTTCCAGTCGATTTTTGCGGGTTGAAGACGTGATGTCTGTAGTTGGCAGAATTGGGAAGACCAAGCATTCCCGTTCGATTGTGAGGAATGCCCGCCTGGCTCTTCATCGTCCAAGTCTCGTTGAACAGCATCACTACCATGTAAGTGGAGAAACCAAGTCTAGATATATGCACGGCTCTTACAGGCCAGAGTCTATATCTCAAGGATCCATTGCATCAAGCAGATAAGAATCTGTTGGCTCTCATAGATGATGTAAGATTGACCTTCAAATACTGCCTTGCACCCGTTATCAACCACCCAGGCACTAACAACAGAACCAGGCGAAGCTTAGGGAGAGACGAACCATAAATCTCATGCCGTCCGTCAACTATGTTGCACGAAGTGTTCTAGATGCTTTGGGAACCATCATGCAAAGTAAGTGGCTCATGTGGTAGTATCAACACAGGCTCACGAGGAAAGGTCCGAATTCCGAAGGTCGTGTCGGGAAGAGGTACTATCCTGGGACAAAATACGTCGATCAGAGTGAGATGTTGTGTCACCAACGAGCGCTTGGAGTATTCAGCCTCAGTGATTCGGATTGGGCTGTCAATGTCCAATGTGAGCTCCTTCACCCTCGGCCAAGATCCTTTGCCTCGTTGTTTGGTCACGATTAATATATTAACCTCTGATCCAGCCCATTCCCACCAACTTGCACGACTCCAGGCTTGTTCGGCCATCCTCCACACCCACGACCGTCTCCTCGACCTAGATTCGCCGCATGCGAGCAAGTACTTCACGGCAGTAAACCCCGACAAACGTTTCAACGTTTCCTCCGCCTCTGGCGAAGCACTGCGAGAGATCATTGAATTAGTCCGGCCGCGTGTTTTGGTGGCCAATGCGAACCGGCTGACGAACAACCCAATAATTAGCAAAATCTGTCGCGCCGCCGGCCTCCACATCATAGCCGACATGACTGAAACTGCGGGCCTAGTTGCCAGCGGTCTAGCTCCTCGCCCTTTTGAGCATGCGGACATCGTGGTGGCCGGAACACAGGGATCACTTCGAGGCCCCAGCGGAGCCCTGATATTTTCTCGCAAGGGCTCGGTAGTCATGCCGCCTGGCTCCAAAAATGCCCAAGAATGGTGCAGCCTCGGGGAAGCTGTGCATCAATCTGTGTTTCCTGGACACCAGGGGGGCCCTCACAATCATGCAATCACGGCCATGGCGGTGGCCTTGGGGCAGGCAGCAACGCCATCTTTCAAGAAATACCAGGAGACGGTGTTGAAAAATGCCCAAGCTCTTGCCGACAGGCTCCGTGATTTCGGCTACCGTCTTGATCTCACAGTGCCAGCCTCCCATCGAATCATGATGGACCTTGGGTCAGTTGACGCTAGGCAGGTGAACCGGGTCCTGGACGCTATTGGAATCGTCACAGGTCCTGTATCTGATAATCGGCTTCATTTTGGCACTTTAGCCATGTCCTCTCGCGGCTTGCTTCCTCAAGATTTTCGCTTGGTTGCTGAGATCATCCATGAGAGTGTGGTGATGGTCCAGGACACGAACAATGGAAGATCGAGATCAGGCTCGGCTTTGGAAACTGTGAATTTGAACAATTGCATCATGGACGGTCCAAATATCCTTAAGATAAGGCGAAAGGTGAGAAACATGACGGAACAGTTTGCGGTGGTAGTAGGCTAGTGCATACCGAGGTACATATGAACCCCAAACGCAACGCCCAAGTTGATACTGTCTACGCGGTCAAAACAGCGGCATAATGCCGTCTCATCGACTCGCGAAAGCTTCACATTCACTGCGGCCATGGACTCTATGGATGATACATCTGAAAGCGCACTCAGTCACGTGGTACGCCTAATCCCACGCCGCAGCAGCATGTTTCGGTTGGAAGCTGCTTAGCATATTCGATGGCATCTTGAACGTATGATTCCAATTTGGTAGTTCATAGTGGCATTTTGATATGAAGGGATAGAAAATGTGTCAGACTGGCGGTAATGCGGTGTGTGCGAAGCTAGAAGTGCGGTTTGGCACTACAACCCGACACATTAGTGACTCCCCTGGTACACGGCTCTTGAAACATTTCAAAAATGCCGGACAGAATCATCAACGTAGCCGCCGTAGTTCGAGTCCCAGTCCCTCGGGATTATATCGGACATAATACCTGGAGTTCTGACCATATGCCATTCGGCACAGCCATTTGGCATTCTAGTCATGGCGAACTACGGTGTTCTTACCCATACTGAGCCCCTCTTCCGCCCACGCAGCGCCGTCGTCCCAAGCCGGGATAACGTATGGGAGCTGCTCGGGCATTTGATCAGGCCAGGTGCTTGCAATCACCTTCATCACCTCTTCGAAGAAGATTTTGTATGCCTCTGGTGTGAAGTGCAAACCTTCACAATGGGAATTAGCTGAGTTGTGACCCGCCAGCAGTATCAGGTATGGCCTACCGTCGTGTATTAGGGCTCTAATAGCGTCATTCTCAGGCAAGCACTGAGAACCGTAGAGGGGATCACCGGTTTGCCAACCGGCCTTGGACATGAAGGCAGTCCAGAGATCAACGCAGCCTACTTTCATCTCCTTGGCAATCTCCCTAGATGCATTGGCGTACTGCTTCGTGACCACGTTGGAGCGGTTCAGCTTCAAGTAGCCTTGGCTCTTGACGCGGTGATCGAGACGTCTCTCCTCGATTGGCGGCGGGGTCACCAGCAGCAGCCGGGGATTGTGAGCCTCAAGGGCTGGGTGAGTGAGGAGCTTGACCAGGTTCTTCTTGTACTGGTCCAGTGGCACATGCTGTCCATTTTCAGCGTCCGGGAAGCAGGCGTCGTTGGATCCAAAAAGAATAGCCTGGGCACCTCCTTTGTTAGCGACACTGCGTTACTAGAACATGATTAGCAAGACATACCATGAACCGGACTCTGGTTTGTTGGGGATCTGGCATGATCTTGGGCAACACCCTTAAACCTTGCTCGGAGTTGAAGCCGCTGGAAACGTGATTAGTCGTGACGGCTGCCATGGACTGGAAGAGGAAAAAATTACCTGAATCCTCTGTTTACAACGTCGAGGCGTCTGATGTAGGCTGCACAAAGTGTCAGCGCCAGGCGTAGTCACGCCGCCGTATTTCCCCCTTAAAGCGGCATGCTACAGGGTCCAACCTTGTTGCAGGGCTGGTGCGAGAGCGAAGCCGCGCTCCTGCGTACTAGCCTGCTCCATGATAGATGCTCCATATAGGATGAATTGATCATAGAGCGACGGCTGGAATTGGGGTGATGTATGAGTGAGCTACAGGTCTTCAACGGGGGGCATTTGAGGCATACCGAGAGCCACCTGGTTGTTGCATGGAAAGAGCGGGGTGCGGGAATCGAAGGCAGAGGATGGCAGCTCTGTCGCCCTTGTCGGAAAAGTCGTGGGAACATTGCTGGATATAGCTTTAGCCGTGTACGGAGTAGAGTGGTATTTGGAGTACGTGTGGAGAATTTGACGGAACGCGGAGAACAGAATTAGGGTGCCAAGGTGAGCAATTTGGGATTCCTTGGCGAGAGTCGCGTCTCGGCATCGGGCCGACCCTCATCCGCTGGCAGCGCGGCTTGCATGGCGGCAGATCAGTTAAGTTCCGCGGCGTCATGGACCCCTATTAGCTGGATGCCCCTGTGGACGAAGTGTAGGGCAGGGACAGTGCAACTCTACGGAACCCAAAAAATGGGCGTGGCCAGGCCACGGTATTTGTGAATTATACCCCCCCTTTACTGTGCGACAGCAACATACCAGACTCCAATCCAATTTACCCAGCGCTTCTTCCAAGACCTCGGAGGCTGAGCCGCGAGGCCCAATCTCGGGAGGCGGCTTTTCTATCTCTTCCGCTGGTAGGTTTTCGACAATCGCACAGTGCAAGGGTCTGCTATCCACCGACCCGTTCGTCCAGCCTTGCATGTTATACATGGTTTGCGATGACCGAAGTTGGCGCATTCGTTCGGAGCTCTCACCCGTAAACGGGAGTTTTGGGCATGGCAGTAGCCAAAATAGTCAACCCATGGTTTTGTCTGGTCAGAATTCTCTCGCGGCCTCGCCGGAGCCACCCTCCAGCCCCCCCCAAAAAAAATAGAAATAGCACAGGAGCGACTGCAGGGTGTCGAGCAGCCACCGTCGTCTAGGAGGGCGGGCGTTCTAACTAATAGGGCGACCCAAAATCCGAGACCTAGCAGCGATGCCAACCCTTTCTGATCGGTAAGTTGTAACGAGGGTCCTTTTATACAACCTCTTCTGGACAAGAATGCGGACGCACTTAGATACAATAAGACCGGAACTCACATTGAGTGGGACTCAACATGTATTATATCAGCGTACTGGCGCCTGGCGCAGACACTTGGCGTGGATATGGTGAGCCAAGTCGAGGATGACAGGAAACGGGACAGAGGTCGCCTGGGCCGCTCTCACGTCAAGAGTGCATTGAAATGCAAAGGTATTTATGGACGCTCACTACATGGTAGTAGTAAAAAGAAAAATATATAAATATTTCCAGACTTTTTCCATTCATAGCCTCTTGGCTTGGAGACAAGCAGTCCACAGGAAAAAGACGTTGGCGGTTCAAATACAGGCCCGCTCCATCACTGCGTGACCAGACTCATTTCGTGGTGTGCTATTTCATACATCTCATCTCACTCTGGTTTGCGGCGCTGGGAGCAGATTGAACCATCACGTCGTCACCAGAAGTCATGGCTAACATGTCCATTCTACGTATCGCGGCAATTTAGACTAGGATGGTACAAGACGATCCAAAGATGATGACAAAGTCAACCGACGATATATTGTCCACCATGTTTACGCATCCCTCCTTCATCTTCCACATATGAGCCTCCACATTCTTCATCGCTGTCATCTTCGCAGTTTGCCGCCGTACCCCTCAAACCTCACCCAATTCTCCCTCAGAGCTTCAGTAGCCTTGTCTAGGTTGATACCAAGCGCCTGCTCAATGTACCGCGCCAACTGGGTATTATCCGCGTGAGGGCCCAAGTACGCCTTCATCTGCGTGTACGACTTGTCGGCACCAGTGAAGCCGTACAGAGGGACGTCGACGGCCGAATGGCCATCCGTTGCCCATTTGACGCCGACTGATTTCGCAAAGTCACTTCTGATGGCAGCTCCCATGTCGGAGACACCGTCCCGTTTGAGAATACCCAGGTACTTCTTAACATCCTTTTCAGAAGCACTTAAAAGTCCGTACTGAGGAAGAATAACGTCCTTCAAGTACGTTGCTCTATCCGGGCCCCGGTACAAGCTAAAGGCCCTCTCAAGGTATTCCGACGTATGGTTGGCTCTCTGCAACATGGCAGGGTTGTAGCCGCTGGCGAGGGTCAGGCCGCCAGTTTCGTGGTCCGCCGCCGACAGGAGCTGGGTGTCGGGGTTTTCAGCGACGTATTTCTTCAGGAAAGACATGACTTGGTAGTACATGGCGATGTCGTGGACATGGGCGGCGACGTCGTTGGCGTGGCCTGCGTGGTCGATTCGCGAGGCTTCAATCATAATAAAGAAGCCCTTTTGGCCGCTCTTGGTAGCATCGGCCAGCGACTTGATAGCGACTTGTGTCATTTGCAGAAGAGACGGCTCTTTCTCATTGTCACGATCCAGCTCATATGCCATGTGGCTGTCGGCAAAGAGGCCCAAGAACGGCACGGGGACTTTTCCCAGGTCGCGCGAAAACACTTCCAGCCCTCCCTTATCCGAGGCGTAGGAGAAGCCCTGGCCCTTGGCCCATGTAATCAGGTCAGCGTAATCGGTGCCGTTCCCCCCCATCCTCTGTGTTTGATAGTGGCGACGACCGCCGCCCATGATGAGGTCTACGACCGATCCTAGGGGGTGCTTTTGCCCAATTTGGTGGCTGGCAATCTCGTCCTCCAGACGTCTGTCCATGACGTGTGCGCAATAGCCAGCGGGAGTGGCGTCGGTGACGCGCGACGTGACGACGAGGCCGGTCTTGAAGCCCTCGAGGTGTGCTGCTTCGAGGATCGAGGCCACCGGTTTGACATCGCTATCGATGCCAATCCCTGCAATAAGCTTAGCGAAACCCCTCCCTTTTTCACTGCCCGTTGCGAGCACCATGTAGTTGACTTGGTCGACTGACCTGTATTATGCGTCTTGTGGCCAGTCGCAAAAGCAGTAGCCGAGGCTGCTGAATCCGTAACAAAGTGATCAAACGACTGGGTGCGCACGCTGCCAATCATCTTCATCCAGTGTGAGAATCTTTTTCACCCTTTCTTCCGTTCACAATCTTCAAAGGAGGTGCGCTTACGATGCGATCGAGTTCAGTCTCTGCCGACTTGGGCCGCAGTTCCGTCCCATTCTTGTTGACGATATTGATATAATCGCGCCAGAGGGTTTGCGACGCAGGTCCAAATCCATCAGGGACGACATAAATAAAATTTCGGGCCCTTTGAACCTTTACCACAGACGCGGCGTTGGTCAGGGTGCTCACCAGGAGCGTAAGGAGTGCGCTCAAGAGCATGCCGATGTGACCAATTGAAGGGGTAGCGGTCATCGCGTCTGGATTTTTCCTACTTGAAGTCAAAGTCGAACAAGAGGAATGTCCTGAATGAGCCAAGGAACAACAAGTTTTTATACAAATTGAATGCATACGACAACGACCCTACCATTGTAAATTAGCCTTTGCACTTCGCATTTTAATGCATGCCTCCATGGTACATGTGTCATTAATGAGCTCTAGGCCAAACTCTCCCAGCAGGTTCCTGACGCATTTTATAGGAATCGTCCCAGTCGAGAACACTGTACGCTGGCGGCGATTGTAATCTTATCCATGTTTGACACCAAAAGTGCCAGGGCCTATCTATCTCAAAGCCCGGCATAAACCAGATACTAACCGCACTTACTAGTAGCCCACTTGATTTATTAGCTGAGTATAATGTTCACCCTAGGGTGTCGGGTGACGTAAGTACCGTGTCTGTAAAAGATTTCTTGGTTTTGCCAAAATTTTTCATTGTAGTTGTGGTCATCTAGTTTGTATGCGCGCATCTTCCATTCGTCGTTCAGGGTGGCTCGCTTCTGTTTTGCGTACCTTCTAGCATATCGAAGTTTTCTGTGAGAATGGAAAACTCGACTGTTTGACATTTCCACGATGTCTGTCATCAAACCAGAGAGAGGTGCGAAGACTCTCGACGCGCGGCTTGCCTGCCACCACAAAGTCTCAAATACACCCAAAGCAAACAGCGAAGCCGAAGCCATCACTCATTCATGCTTCCTTAGCAAAGCATACCATGCGCCGGTCCCTGCCCCCATCCACGGGTCCAAATTTCTAAGTTCTTCCAAAAACGCCTCCTCCTTCGTCCCATCTTCATGCAACTAGATCACATTAGCGTGTCCGAGCAGTACAATACAATGTACACGCTTCACACCTCAGTGCTTTCCCAGCCCAAATAGTACACACCCAGACGTCGCTCCTCGTGCGGGATTTTGTTCTCTGGCAACCCGCACGAAAGACCAACTGCATCGTTGGTATTAGACGCATAGGCCCAGTCACCACCCATAAATCCGGTCAATTGGTATGCGTCAGTATACGTCTTATGCATAGACTTTTGTAGCGCCTCGTCTGCCAGCGGTGCATTGTCAGATGGTCTAATCATAGCCTACGCGGAGTTAGCGGGTGGTCTGGTCAGGGCCGGCACTTTCTTTCTCTTGGCTACACACAAACTCGCAGATACGTGACTCTAGGGAATTCGTGGCGTCGGACAGCTGAGATTCGCTAAACTCGCACATCGAGGACGTGGCGTCGCCGTCCTAGAGGGCCATCGGGCGATTTGCGAGCAATGGGCATTGCTGGGCCAGTCGATCGCCGGGCCAGTCACTCGTCATCATCACGGGAGAATTTATCTATTCATTTGTAGCACATACCCACTACCCAAAAAACTTCATGCCTCTTCCTCGGGAGCGGAGAGAAGCTCGTAGAAATAGTGTAGCCAAAGTAGTGACGCACGGCACCGGCTTTGGCAGCTGCTCGTCTGAGGTCTGTAAATTCTGGGCTTGATATGACTTGGGGCTTGCGGAGGGTGAATCGGAAAATTTCCGAGAGCATCTTGCTGGTATTTCCCACTGAAGCCGTTACTAGATTTCTAAGCATTAAACGATATTGTTAGATTGTGTTTGTGATTTGAAGCAAATGCGAGTGAAAGAAGTAGATGAGCGTGAAGGAGTACCGGAGTGGGTCTGGATTCTGGGCTTTGGACAACACGCTGTGCACCAAAGCGAAATAAATAGCTGCATTCTTAATTCGAAATAGTCTTGAGATAATCTGTCTACTAGTAAAAGCACCCAATAAACTATTTCCCCTATAACTAAAATGCCTTGTACTATGATAGTTGGCAATTATCAGTACACTACGAATAAGTACTACAGCCTACTAGTAATAACACTATTTCTTATAAGGCTAGTATTTGAAGATGCAACTATAATGTAACTTTAAGGGTAAGCTTTTTTTGTGCAATTTGCAATCTTTGATATAGTAGCGCTTTGCCTAAATTAGCTAATATGCCCACTATGGACTCTGGTACCGAACTTTGATGCTCCACCATCAAACCTCATCATCGCATTGTCCGACATTCGCTCAATTTTACTTTACATCCATCGTCAAATCGATGGAAACCATTCACAAAACAAGCGCTTCCAGAAAAGACATCCAACCAACAGACGAGGCACCCGCAAGCTCGTACCCGCAGACTCTCCATTCGAAGCCTTGCCCCCGTCTCCGGCGCCACTTCCCGCAGTGCCGTTTGAAGAAACAACACGCTTCTCCAGAGCGTTCTGAAGCGGCGTGTGCGCCCTGATGTATGCGACGAGTACCTGGTCCAGCGACTCGAGGGTGATAAACTCCGTAGCGGGCTTCAGGAGGTTATCGCCGCCGCCGGCAACAAAATCGACCGTGACAACATTGTAATCGGTCTTGTCGTCCAGCGACTTGGCGCCTATGGTAGCGTTGACCAGCCTGGATCCGGCATCCTTGCCCTCGTTATACTCGATGACGATGTTGCTAGAGACCTGGAACCAGGAAGATGTTTTCTTTTGATTGAACTGGCTGACGCGGGAGACGCAGCCTTCGAGAATCTTGCGCAGATCAGCACCAGAGTACTTCAGTTGGGTGACAGCGTTGCCGAATGGGAACGAGGTGATGACTTGTCCGCGGGTAATGTTTCCCTGGTCAATGGTCGCCCGAATGCCGCCGGCGTTGATAATGGCGAAATCGGGCTTGTCGTCGGTGCCGTTGGTCTGGTTCTGGCGATATTCGAGCATTGCATCGGCCATGACTTGCCCCAGCAGACAATCGCCCTTTTGGCATGTCGTCTGGTCCAAGACGTTCTTTGTGCTCCCGATAACTTCAGCAGCGTACTTCTCAAAGGGGCCTCTCCAGGAGGTGATGCTTTTTTGGAGTTTCTTTTCCAGAGAGGTGGTATTGTCCATGTGTATAGGTGCTCCGTGATAGGATAGAGCCCTGCCGTTATCATCAAAGGTCATCTCGATTGAGCCCAGGTACTCGCCCCATCGATAGGAGGTGACGACGAAGACTTCATTGCCGCCCTTGTCCTTAATAATGGTGGGATATTTGCCCTCGGCCTTGTCCATGTCGCCCAGCAATGTGTGGCTGTGGCCGCCAATGATGAGCGAGAGGCCCTCCGTTTGCTGTGCCAGCTTCTGGTCTACCTCGTAGCCGAGATGAGTGAGTGCCACTATGCGCTTGATCTTGGTTGTGTTGCGAATCTCATAAATGGCCTTTTGAATCTCGGGTATTGGGTCAAGAAAGGTAGTTCCCTTGCCAACATTGGCAATGTTGGGCGTGGTCTCGGTCGTGGCACCAATAACAGCGAGATCGTGCTTCTCGAAGATGTGGTAGTTCTTGATGGTCTCGTTCAAGTCATTGACGGTACTCTTGACGTTGCAGGAGACGACGGGGAAGGTCAGGTTCCTCAAGAACTTGCCGAGACTCTCGTCGCCTCCGTCCCATTCGTGGTTGCCGAGGGTCATGGCATCGAATTTCAGGTCGTTGATGGTCTCAGCAATCTTCTCCCCGCCATAGAAGGTGTAGAACAGGGTGCCTTGGAATTCATCGCCTGCGTTCAGCCAAAGATGGTCAGGGTTCTGTTTCCGCAGCTCATCGACCTTGGTCTTGATGCGGGCGTAGCCTCCGAAGCAGCCTTTAGTGGCATCTGTGCAGTCCGCGCCGGCTTTGGTGTACTGGTCCAGATGGGCATGGACGTCGTTGACGTGAAAGAATGCTAGCAGCTCGAAGTTAGTCGAGCCGTCTCGCGTTAATACATACATGAACGTATCGATGTTCCGGGCAGCGGAGAGATCATACCGAGATTATAATTGCCGTTTGGGAGCAAGCCACGCTTCGAGAAGCGACTGCTGTAAAGAACGTCGTCGGCGAGGGCAACAGAGCCAGTTGCCAATACAGCCAGCGCCGAAGCGATCTTCATGGTTCGTAGGGTCCTACTTCACAATGCCAGAGATGAACTGCGTGTTGGTTCTTCGATAGAGCGCCCTTCTCCCGGAGCCAATGCAAGCCGACGAGCTCCAACAACGACTACAACAACAAACACCACTGTTCAAGATGCAGGCCTTGGCGACGGAAAGATCAAATGAAATATGAGCTTATTTAAATGGTCGGTGCAATTCAACATTACTACGCACACCTTGTCCTTCAGCTACGACGGCCACGTGCCCCGACAATTTATGCGGGGTGAAGTGCACGAAGAGACGTCAAAATGGTGACGGCGATCCGGCAAAAGCGACGGGTTGGACCTTAGAACCTTTTCTGCTTAAGACCTAGTACCTAGCCGATACGACGGCGGCATTTTCCGCACGTGGATGCAATCATTGGTCTGAAGTCCAAGTTGAAGATAGGCAGGTGGGCTTTCGCCGTCCAGCACCAAGCATCCAAGGAGGAAGCTGAAATGTACCACGATAAAAGGTAACTAACTATGTCTCAGGTGTGCCCTAGGTAGTTATATAGAACGTGTACAACAATATTCGATAGGCTGCAGCGGACTGTTCCATCCAGAACGAGCACCCTTTGGTCAGCAAGTTGGCCGACACGTCCAGCCAATTGTCTGGTGCGGAAATAAACTCATCCGCCACGTTTTCGTTTAATTCTGATAAGCTTAATATGACGCCTGGGAATGCCCTGACTAGGCGTGATGTGCTCAATCACCACCCATCTACCGCCCTTTTGTCGTATTTAACGGCGTACAAGCACCAAGATTGTTTCTGCGAACTGCACCTGGCCCATTCCGAATTCCAAAAGCAATGTTTTTTTCCCGCAGCCGTGGTTGCTTGTACATGTGCGACTTGACGGGGATAACCTTCTGCCCAACTCGTATAGCCAAAGTTGGACGCCACGCGCTTTTTACCAAGCCACCTATAACAGCAACGCAACCTCTCTTCTCTTCGCAGCCTCTGAATGCTCACAGTGACATGTCGAAAATAACATTTGACTCTTCAGAGACTCTTTCGCTGTGGAAAGCAGTTCCTTCGGGATCCCTTGGGGAATTGGCACTTGAACGGAACACTCCTGCTAGATGATTCCGCAGTGTTGATAATGGCGACCGCCACTCTAGCCAAGACGGCGAAGACGGCGAAGACGAAGACGACGACGACGAATCGGATGAACCAGGATGTATATACAAAGGCGTAGATCTCGGCCCCCCTACATTGAATATGTTTCCTATGGCCCGTCTAATGCCGTGTCGGCTCCGGGCTCCGGCTCCCTCAATATCAATGTGAGTTGTCTTTGGGCTTTCGGGCGGTGGTCGTGGCGCTTCTGTTTCGGTCTCTGGTTCTGGTGCTGGTTCTGGCAACGATTCCGATTCGGTGGCTGCTATCGAGTTCGTCATGCTGCTGAAGCCATTCTCAGCCACGGACAGACGTTCGGCCGAGTTTAGACGTCCGTATCTGTTTCCTGCTCGCGTACTGCGTTTCATGCAAGAGAACACCGCCAGCCAAAAGAGCACGACACAGGAGGGCACAACAAGAAAGATGAGATTACTCATGTTACGGGCAGTTTCACCGCAAAATCAAGCTGTACATGGAGCAAGTTCAATTTCAACTCGGCATCTTCCCTGCCATGAATTCACCGAACTTGTAGTATTTGTATCCCTCTGCTAACAATGACAAGCTGATTTGGATACAATGAGTGATTGACCACTATGGCTTTTGTGATCCGCACAATTGATTCATCCGTTTGCATAGCGGGTAGCACACAAGTCACTCGCGACTATTGTATTTCCATTGTCATTGTAATCACCATGTATTACAAAGCAAGAAAGCCCTTGGCAATTAAACAGTCGCGTACCCATCGCGTGAGAGTCGAAGACGTGATGCCATCAAGGTTTAATAGGTGTATCTGAAATCGGCAGCCGAGGTTTCCTGTGCACGGTTAGGGTTGGTATTCTCTCAAGCACCATCGGGGTGTAATAGGACGGGTAGTCTTACATTATCTTCGCTCTCCAATACCTTCTCGCCTCTGTCGGCCTTCTTATTTTGTCGGAAAAACTCCAAATCACAAACGCAAACCAGAATAATGCTGAGCAGCGTACAGGCGATACATGCATACATGCCGGGTTTGTAACCAGTAAGTTTGTCCTGCTCCCGGAACACAAGACTGCCACAAATGCCGCCGATGCCGCCAAAGCCAACAAGCGTGGCACTGCAAAAAGCTCGCTTCCACTGGCCACGCAAATTATTGGCCTGGAAAGACATCGTAGCAGGAACGTTGCTATTCGCGCCGGCTGTAACTAGGAAAACGCCAAAGTATCGTACAGCAGCCTTGGAGTGCCAGCCCATTATCGGCAGGCCAATGAGGCACAGTAACATATTGCCAATAATTATCGGTCCACGAATGCGATACTTGTCTCCAAGCCAGCCCGTGGTGAACATGACAATGGCAGCAAAAGCATAAGGAGGAGCAACAAGGCACTGAGCTGCCCCTACGGAGAATCCTAAATTGGAAACAAGGAGAACTGGTAGCGTATAAGCAAGAGCATAGCTCATAGCCGTAGTGTTGAAGAAGATCATAGCATAAGCCCAAATCTTCCAGTCCGTTCCGCCTCGGAGGAACTTTCGGAGGTCGAATGACGTAACCTTAGCATCACCTCTGTCACGTTGGACACGACTGACAACCCACTGCCGCTCTCGCAGATTTAAGAAGCTCCAAGTCTTGCGCGTGGCGTCAGGGAAGTCGACCAGAAGCCAGTAAGAGCCAATTGCCAGGCCACAAGTCAGTGCGCCTTCGATGATGAAAATCCAGCGCCAACCTGTGAGGCCTTCCCGTCCGTTAAGCTGCATAAGCTTTGAGAAGAATCAACGTTAGTTGCTATCAAAAACTTGATGATTGGTGTGGCAAAGTACATGTACTTACGCCGTAAGCCAAAATACCGGCGCAGGCAGATGCAAAACACCCGATAACATAAAACACCGAGTATCTTTTGCCAACCTCATCTATAGTTGGAGTCAGCAACATGCTCTTCTCGCCCATTGTTTGAGAGATCTAGATGGCTTTCATAATACGCACATCGAGTGTACCAAGTGCTGAGCAAGTAAACGCAACTCGGAAAGAAGCCTGCCTCAAAAAAACCAAGCACAGCTCGGAGGGCTGCTAGCTGGGAGAAGTCCTTGACGAACCCCATTCCAATCATAACGGCTCCCCAAAGAAGTGTAATTGTTGCAAGGTGGACTCGCGGTCCAATTGCTCGCACAAGTATAGTGGATGGAGGCTGAAAAAAAATATATGTCACAAAAAAGACAAGATTGGCAATGTTCTAGACTGCGTCAGCTGGCCGTGCCTGATGTTTCCTGTTATTGTTCAATAATCGGTTCTTTAACTCACATATCGATTGTCAATCAACGTGAGCTCCTTACTCATGCCCGCAATGTTGGCAGCACTCATATTGGTCCGGTCCATAAGACTAACACAGTACATAACACCAACGGTAAGAACCAGTCGACGGTCGATTCTGCGAATGATACTCCTCTGCTCAGCTTTTGTAAATCCATAGTCGCTATCGGCATCACCGGCCTCTCCAAGTTGGCTCTCAAGTTTGTCATTAGACGCGGTGGCAAGATCCTGGTGTTCCACCGTTTGCTTCTCGGCATCTTCACGAAGAGATGCCATGGTTGAGCCCCGCGGAGCGGTAGTATAGACTCTCACCGTTGTTGTACTTGTTGATTAGACAAAAGCGACGACGCAGACAGGCAATTGCATGAAGCCACTGGGTCCAAAACTGTAAAAGTTGTCTTTGCACTGGTTATGAAGACTTTTGGGACTGAAATGAGGGCGAGCAGTAAAAGATATATAGTAGCGGGGACGGCTAGGAGCAAGCCTCTCGCGAGCAATTCCCGGCCAACACAGGCAACTTCAATCGACTCCATCTGCCGACCACAGAGACTAGAGATTTATCTGCAGGATGCTCGACGTTGTCCCCTTCCTCCACCCCAGTGCTCCGTTGGGGTGTGGCGGACAGCGATGCCAAGATGCTCTACCCCAGAAACTAGTAGGTTGGGGTGTTGCGGGGAAGCGGGTCGCTGAGCCTGGAACTGCTGAGATGCGCCGGGCGTGTTGGCCTTTTTGGGTCCAGGATGAGGCCGGAAGTATGGTGGCTTGCGGGGATGGCAGCATCTTGACAAGGTGTTCTCTGATGCTCTTGTCGCCGCCGCCTGCTTTATGGGTAAGGGATGGTGCCTCTGCGGGGAAGGCGTCTCAGCCGCTTGTGCGAAACTCATGGCCTCTTGTTTGCATTGTCCGCGACCGAAAAGGCGTATACGAGACAAGTCTTGGTCTAGAATTGCAAAAACAAAGCTCGGATGCCTGCAGAATACTTGGATTGAGCTGTCTCAACCCTCAGCCATCCTGTCATACCTGCCTCAGGTAGCCATGTGATGAGGGATGCTGAGAGGGAAGGAGCAAACGGCGGCTAGTACACGTGGTTGGCGCTGTTGACGTGAACGTGATGCATTGCAAGTGTCTTTCAACTCTCGACAATCATTCCACAACATTGTCTGCAGCCTCCACTCTCGTTCTTTCATCTCCCCAGTTTTCTGTATCTTGGGACACGCTCCGTCGCATTGGGACCTGAGCCAGATTGGCTCCGCTCCACCAATTAAAAATGAGGCCAACAGACAATTCAAAACCTAAATTATGTTCTATAGCAGGGCTTGGCATGGATCTCTAAACTCTAGAGTGCACCGCACCCATACATCCCGTGACAACACTAGCAGCACAATACGGAGTATGTATTACTCTTGTCCTCGGCACAACAGGGAAGTTGCCCAGGCACTCGGGTTTCCATTGGTGTCGTCCGTTTCCACCGAATAAAACCACCAAAACTCAATGAACAAGCAATACACAGCGTCCGTTTTGTTCTCAAACACCTCGTTTGTACGGCCTTTGCCACATCCGACAACCTGTGCAACGCCATCTCAGGCTCGTCCCGCCACTTACCGCCTCCTCTTCGCTGGGGGCACTTAGAGGGGTTGCCTTGGTCCAATTGACAGCCAATAAGGGGACATTCCGTGAGGATAGATGCCGAGGTGCAATTAACGGGTAAACAGCAGCAAGTCAGCCATGACTCAGCTCGTATTTAGTGCTTTCAAAGTGGTAACCTGGACAGACATCAACGCCACGCCAACCTACTTCCTGTCAACAAAGGAGGTCCAAGAGATCCATCTCGATACAGCCTAAATCAATAACGCGATTTCACAATCCAATAGGCTCAAGGTGAAGATTTGTTTTTGGAAAAATAGTCCCTGCTTCTCCCGAATGCACGCCAAGTTTATGCCCATCAGCTATCGAGCAGACGTCCAGGACCATGATGATGGCTTGCGGGCTGAAGCCATATATCCATCCCACCTGAAAAGCACAGCGAATCCAGAGGTGGTGGCGTGGTGGAAAAGGACCAAGCCAAGCTTACTTCAACTACATACTCATACCCGGTGTCTGTCTCCCTATTTATTCCCAACGAGCCGTACCGTCTACATGCCACTTTTACTTTCCGTCAGAATATCATAGTTGCCGAGGCATACACCAAAATAGCCAAAATTGGGCTTTCAATCATCATGGGATGCCTCGGTCGACCAAGTTGACACACTAAGTGATATACTCGTTCAGCCACCAACACATGGCACGTCGGAGGCACTGCTTTTCTGTTGTCCATGGGGTTGTTGAAATTACAACTGTACACAACACCAGCAGCCATGCCAGGCCCCATCTCCCGGTTTTGGCTCACCTTCAGACGCGTGGCGGTGGTGCGCACCCGAACAACAATACGGATGCTTGAGGATTACCCGTTTCAAGCAATTAAAACCCCCAAGTCCCCATTAGCTTACTAGTCAGGTGCTGGCGCAATCGCAAACCTTGGCAAGTATTCGAATCGAACAGGGCGATTCAAGTTGAAGTTTAAACCGGTCCCATCAACAAAATTACAGAGTGAGAGACCGGAGTGAAGGTATTCAATTAGTAAAAATAAAAAACTGATGGTGGTCTTTCCGACGGCCTAAAGAGTGGATTTCAGATCGTGTCGTACACTCCGAGTCTTCATAAGTCCATAAATTGCTCCGTATAATCGTCTCAACCATTGTGATATAATATCACTGACTCCAGACGCGAAAAGCTCCATATTGGAAGGCACTCTCAAAGAGAATAACATTAGATTCTTTATACACGTAGCCAGTGACCACCATCTAAAGGCGCCCAAAGCCACGGAAAGCGAGGTGCCGAGAAAGAAGGTCAAGGCTAAGCAACTACGAAAAGCCAAAGGTATGTTAAGTGAAAGAAATACACCACGAGCGTAGAATAGCCACTTATCCGGAAATCACATCTCCACTGCTTGTATTTTCAGTGCGTATATCGCAAAATACCCAGCTCGGAAATGGTTGAAAATCAGCTGGCATTCTCCGCGGCTCACGAAATGAGGGCTTGCTGTCCTTGCTCTCAACAGTACTAGCGATAGCCATGATAAATTCAGCCTTGCCAGCCGATACACGAATGGGCGGCTAACGCAAGATGGCCTTGATGGCATCCTCGGTCGCTTCCACCCTCGCAAACTGGCCATTTAGACTTGCAAGGTGAACCTCATGAATGTTCCGGGCGCCGAACCCGCCTTTCGCCCAAGCGGCCGTGGCGTCGCTCAACAAAACTATCCTGCTCTCGACCCGGCTCCCAGCGGCATCCCGTTCAAGAACCTTCAAATTGGCCGCCATTCTCACAGTTGTACTCACGCACTCGTCGGTGCTCAGCCCAAGGACGACCAGCTGCTCCGTCTTGAACGCTCTTAATCGCATCTCCAGATCGGTCCCTATGAAGGCTGAGTTGACGCCCTCGACGAGCACCGGCTCCGGGGCAACGGGGGCTGCGACGTCCATCGGCGCGACGCCGTCCGGGAATATATACGTCGGGTGCAGCGGTGAAGTCAGTCTCGCGGAGTGGTTGTGGACATGGATGATGAGGATGGGCTTGTCTGGCCGGCCTTGGATGTACACGCGAGCGGCTTGCAACACGGATCCGACGTTCGACTCGAACTCTGGTGTGCTTCTCTCTGGGCCCCAGTGCGACGCGTGCCTCATGCCCTGCTGGATGTCGATGAGCAGCAGGGCGGTTGGCGATGCGGAAGCGGGTAGCATTGTTGTAGCCGGTGAACTGCTGGCCAAGTCATCGTTTCGCTGCGTCTTCATTTGACAGACGGAGGAGGAGTTGTATCAATGTGTCGGAAGGGCGCAGCTAGACTCCACAGCCCAGCAGCACCACACTTGCTTGCATATCAGGATATGGCTTTTCTCTGACCTTGTTTGCTCTGATGATAGGACACTTGAACCGATTTTGAGAGTTCCAAGACTAGGTTTCCCCGCAGAGCCCGCAGAGAACGGTGGATTCGTAGAAGAGACGGCACCATTACTGGCGAGTTGGGTTAAGGAGTAGTTGACTGAAGAGAGCGCCTTGTCTAGGGACTTCATAGCTACAAAGCTGGCAGAGAGTCTGCTCTCGCATGTGTGGGCAGCACCCTCCTCGGAAGATGATGAAAATAGAATTTCGAAGTTGTCAAGATGTCCGTTCGAGCTGCCTGATAGTGGGCAGAAACCACTGCCAACTCGGCGCATTACAGAAGCTTCCGAATATGCACAGTCCTGCATTCATCTTCGTAACATGCAATCGCTGAGTCTATTGATAAACGTCATTCGACTCCCGCATAGAAAGCCCGCATAATTTCAACCATATCGCTCCACGCTCCAAAAGTGTCACAGTGTCTCGCTCTTCGCCCATCCTCGCCCATAAAACTGACTCCCGACTCTGATATCGTATACAAAATTAGGAAAGCCCAGCTCCACATTCCCTCGCCCCTGTCCACAGCTACGCAGGCTTCCCTTAAAGTTTATTAACAATGCCTCTCCGCGCTCCCATCTCACAGCCATCATGCGACTATGCCCACTTTGGCTGCGATTGTTGACAGAAACTTCCGCACGTTGTGCCACAGCAACCCAGCGGTTCCCACAACGGTGAATATTTGCAAGATTTCCCAAGGGTGTTTGGTTCTGACTTCAGTCTCGACATACTCGGTCTTGCCTCCGGTCAGGGCTGGGAAACGGCCCTCCCTGAGATACTCCTCCATTAACGCATCCTTCTTATACCACTGGTCCCGAAGCCAGGTGTCAAATTCCTTCTGGTCGTTGAGGGGCATATCAGCGACCCGAAATCGCCGCCAGTACAGATTTACAGACTTGGGGGGGCGGCCCTGAAAGTAGGTGCTTGCCAACCCAAAGATTTCTTCTCCGTATTTACCTCGGCTGTTGGGTGTGAGCGTCGTCAGCAATTGTATCGTCTTGTCTCATTGGTCCTTCGGACGGCAGTGACCGGAACTTACGGTATTCCTTCGTAGGCCACAGTACAGTCGTATACATACTCCACTGTATCCTTCAGCTCATTCAGACAGAAGAATATACCTGTGCTTCGGGGCAACATGACATGATCGGGATCCTTGAGACCATTCTTTTCTGCCCACTGAAAAGACTTTTCCCGGCCATTTCTGGACAAATTAGTGCCTTCCGGGAACAGAAGAAGCCACATGGGGTCAAAATAAGCCTTGCCCGATGGGTCAATCTTCTTCTTCTTGAGTTTATTCAAACGATAAGCCAGCCTTGGTTGATCTGTAGCCATCTTTCTCGACATGTAGATGAAACCGTAAAACATCATACCAGTTCCTATGAACGGTATGTATTTTAGAGATTCTTTGAGAATGATGTAGATGTGCCCATGCATTCCCGGCCGATTTGCATAACCAACCCACCACAAGTACAACCAATCTGTGTAAATCTGCGCGGCGCCTGCAGTTAGCTCCCATCTGGCGGCGATCTCGCCTGGTGATACCATCATCACATGTAAACTTACCTGGTGATTTGCAATCATTACCATGCGTTCCGGAAATTTGAATTCGACACCGCCACCAGGAGTGGCCAAAATTTGTCCAGCTACAGACTCATCACCGCTAATACGAACGGTAGCAGGACCCCAAATATGAGTCATGACAGTAATTGTAAGTGCAAAGGACTGCTTTGTCATGGCCATATAAGCGTAAAACCACTCGCGGTTGATAAAGTACAACGGGGCACCTATAAATTGAGTGATGACGATTCTACGAAGCCAAAGGTTTTGTTAGACGACTACGGTCAATCCACTGAGCCCTGGCAGCACGACGGATGAGACAAGCGTACTCACGCAAAGCAACAAAATGTAAAGTAAGCGGTGAATGCAATACCCCGTAGTATTTGCATAGCACGCCCATGACCGCTCTTGCCCGAAGGGTGGACAAACCGTGATGAGTTGGCTGGCTGTTTCTCGTCATTCTTGAACCCTGCAGCAAGCTCTGAAGCCGGAACTTTGCTCTCCGAGCTGTCATTCTCCGCGAACTCAGGCATGACGACCTTTTGAAAATGATTGGTACTGCACCAACACAGTGAAGTAAATTTCAGACGCAAAAGTGTGGACACGGGGCCGTTCTGAGCGGAAAGGCCGGATAAGTACGGAGTAGCCAAGGATATAAAACTCTGTGACGAGAGATAATTAGCAGCCATGCACAGGCAGCTCATGCAGACGACGGATAAAATTGAGTTACATTCAAGTGAGGGAATCTGCTAGCTCTATATGCAAATGCTTCGCTCAAACGCGTACCTTGCGGCAGGATGCCCAAGTTGTCGGGGGGGTGGTGGGATCGACGTTACTCTATGTTGGTCGACTGGTGGTGTGAATATGCTGCTAGGAATACTGCCGGAAAGCTTGTCTAAATCGTGTAGCAGGAATCAGGTGTACTGACCAGTACACTCCTGACCTGGCCTTCCACGTCCCAAAAGGGTCTGAGCGAAGCAAAGAAATGGTGCTGGTGACGTGAAGATAGAAAGAGGGCTGATGTTGGGAGATGTTCAATGTTAGGCGGCGGCACATGTGACGCGATGACGATCGGCCCTCCCAGCGCTCCTTGGGCCATGAGCTGCCTGAAAATGGCGGCCGTGTGCCCTGCAGAGCTTCAGCTGACCTGACAGGCGGCCAATCAGGGGTTGACATTTAGAGGGCTTCCAGCACCGAGATCCGTCAGCCAACCACACGAGCAGTCTGGTTGACCTGCCAGCGGGGTATGGCAGCAGATTCTTGGCTACCCCCCAGCCGAGAGCAGGCTGGGTACGCACGGATTCCGATGATGTGCATTCGAACTCAAGTGGTGCAAATTAGAAGTGTAATATTCTCTCTTGAGTCTTGGTCAAAGTCTCTTTCACCGTTGGTTTAAATTCAATGCCGCCCCCCCGCCGATGCTAGCTTTCCTGCCGTTGCCTGACAAGATTAGGCAAGCGGTCAGTCCCCACAGTCGACCAAGCAGCCGCACATGTCCACACTGGCTGCCTTCCAAGGCTGGATTTTAGCCATCCAATTCCGCCACCGCCAGGCGCATCTTGGTTCGCATGTTCAAACTAGGAGTTGACTGCGGCTAGTTCCAGATCCTGCCTTTTCTTTGTCTCCTGAAAAGGAAGACAAGGATAGGCGAATATGTCCAGGCGTCAGCTGCTGCAGGAGCTTCTCGCCTCTACTCGCCATTCCGGTCTCGGTGGACAACCTAGAGCTCCAGCATCGCTACCACGAAGGCGAATAGCGTCGGAAACACCAACATGCAGCTCACGCCACAGCTTCTCGACGAGCCTCCCTCTTCGCAACGCGCAAGTCCATAGCGTCAATGAGCTTCCAGACCGCACCTTCCCACGCTACCTTCAGAGTACGAAACCCGGCTCGTCGCTGCTGTCGCTCCATTGGCCGCGGCCACCTCGAAATCTACTCCTTGTGCAAAAGCTCTACGCGCCTGATGTGACCGAGTCTGTCATCAAGTTTGCCAAACACATTCGCACTGACTACCCAGATGTCAATCTCGTCGTGGAGCCGCGCATTGCGGCCGTTATTCGCAACCACCTCCCGTTCCCCATCTACGTATCCGATAGCCGGTCCAACACTGCGGGCAAAATCGATGTTATTGCCACTTTTGGTGGAGACGGAACGGTCCTTCGGGCTGCAAGTTTATTCAAACTACATGGCTCCGTGCCTCCAATCTTGTCTTTTAGCATGGGCACGCTGGGCTTTCTGGGGGAATGGAATTTCAGCGAGTATAGGAAGGCATGGAGGGAAATGTACATGAGTGGGAGCGATGTGGCTTCGGTACAGGATGCTGCTGTGCCCATAGACAACGGGAGGGATGAGCGCATGACGACCAACACCCCGGCTGATGTTGCCGGATGGGAGAGGTTACGCGGAAAGAGTCTGGGTGTTAGCCGGGCATCCAAGATTTTGCTGCGGCATCGGCTCAAGGCCGACATTTTTGATCGCTCAGGGGATAACATCAACCATCGGGTGTCTGATACACTGGCCCACCAACATAAATCCAGCATCGCCGGAACCCAGGAGCCATCACCCTCTCTCCGTGCCATCAACGAGATATCCGTCCACAGAGGATCTCACCCGCACTTGGCCATCATTGATATATACCAAAACGGCCATTTTTTGACAGAGACCATTGCAGACGGCATCCTCATCAGCACGCCGACCGGCTCAACAGCATACAGCCTCAGCGCCGGCGGGCCTATCGTTCACCCACTTGTCAAGTCACTCCTCATCACGCCTATATCCCCGTGTAGTCTGAGCTTCAGATCGCTTGTGCTGCCGCTCGATACCAAAGTCACGTTACGAATGAGCCCAAAAAATAGAGGCCGAGAACTAGATCTTAACATTGATGGGAAGCGATGCGCCGGTGTCTTGCCGGGTTCAGAGATTCGCGTCGAGGGCGAATTTGTTGGTAGAGCCGGGCCGGGAGAGGAGTGGCATGGCGGTGTGCCATGTGTAATTCGTACAGAGGATGATGATCCGTGGGTAGGCGGACTGAATGGGTTGTTAAAGTTCAACCATCCGTTTGGGAGGGAGCCGCCAAGCGATGAGTTTTCTGACTAGAGGATCAGAGGATGCGTGAAGCAGAAATGCCGGGGTATATTTTCCGGCACGGTGGCTCATATTTAGTTGTGACGTTTGGGTACGTTTGGAGTCTGGCATAGCGAGTTGACTTTGTTCACAGCGCAAATTGATACCCCATTCGACGTTGATGCAATTGATTCAGTTCCGGATTTGCAACGTTCCGTGGTCAATGGCGAGAAATTCGTGGGGGAAGACGAGCATGTTCAGACTCTATCAATGCCGCGGGCATGGTAACTTGTGTGAGGCTGAGTTGAGAACGCTGGCTCAGAACTGGTTTGGCTGGGCGAAGGGCTGACAGCACGGATGGGCAGGGTAATGCTAATGCAACAAATGGCATTGGCCAACCTAATACTCTGTACTTGGAGTGTCTGGTGTTTTCGGCGCACACAATGGGCATTTCCTACGCCAGCTCTCACTGCCATTGCAGTGCAAACAACGGATTGTTACTGATGAATAGGTGTCAACTGGTGTGTTGTAGACTGGCAATTGTTGTGCCCATATCTCGTGACAGTTGCCCCCAGCATGTCAGCTTCTTGAGCACAAAGGCAGGCAAGCACCCCGAATCCCGCTGGTTGCACCGTATGGACCAGTTTTTTGAAACCAACGCATCGTACGTCATGGGCTGAGACAGAAGCGTCGGCTGGTACATGCCAAGTGCAACAGACGTTACGAGTCTTCTGTCCGTGTGTTGCATCGCCACGACAAGGTGCATAGCCTCCCCCGTTGGACCAAGTGGTTGGTGTTGTTATGCATTTTACAATACCGAGTATAACCAATCCATTCGTCCCCCTTTTTTTTGGAATCTCGCAGCCCCCTGTCCAGCCAGCCAACAATGCCCGGGAGCCAAGCTGGGCCTCGGTCTCCCTGCGTCTCCGCCGCGCAAAGAGACAAAATCGAGACGACGTTTTTTTTTGTGTGTGTTAAACTCTCGTTTGACTGAAACTAACCAACTGGCCAACTGGGGCGAACTAACACCAACTGGGGCCGACTTATCCGTCCGTCAATGACCAGGCGGAATGTTGCAGAAAATTGAATCCTATTGACGGAGCGCCGCCAAGACCAAACGGCCAAGACACTAGCTAGAGCTTGTGCGCTCCGCTGCACATGAGTCTGGTATGTCCATATTTGTATCAAGTCGAGTCTGGTCGTATTAATTCCTCGGGTTGCTCGCGTTGCTGGTCTTTGGTGTGCCCGTCCGCTTCCACTTCCCATTCCAGTCTTCTCATTTCTCACTTTTTCTCCTCCCTCGTCGCCTCTCTGGCCGTCTGTCTGTTCAATTGAATTTTGCAGCGCAGCAAAGGCGGGGGGACAAATGGCCATTGGCAGTCAACTGTCGCTCCTGCTGGCCGCGGCGACGGCGCTGGCTCCCGCCCAGGTTGCCGCGGCCGTTGCCCAACGTAGGTTTTCTCGATGCCCCGACTCGCAGCCACCGCAAAATCGTTGCACGGCCGAGATGCCAGCTGGCGTCACCTGTTGCTAACGCCGTTGCCCTCGCCTGCACCAGATCTCCCGCGCCAACACGATGCTCCCGATTCGGCCGACGTCGTCCGCCAAACATACCTCATCCAACGCGCCACCAATCAGTCGCCCAAGGGCTATGCGCCGTCTCCCGTCGACTGCCCCAAGAGCCGCCCGCAAGTGCGAGACGGCAGCAGCTTGTCGTCCCAGGAGCGGGAATGGCTTCCCAAGCGCCGAAACGAAACCGTCGCCCCCATCCGTGAGCTCCTGAAGCGCATTGCCATCCCCAACTTCGACAGCGATGCCTACCTCAAGAATGCCACCAGCGACCCGACCGCGCTGCCAAACATTGGACTGGCCGTCTCCGGAGGCGGTTATCGCGCCATGCTCAACGGTGCCGGTGCTGTTGCCGCCTGGGATAGCCGCTCGACTGGCAGTCAGACAAAGGGCAACTTGGGTGGCCTGCTCCAGAGTGCGACGTATATCTCCGGTCTGTCTGGCGGCAGCTGGCTGGTGGGCAGCATGTACACCAACAATTTTACTTCGGTCCAGGATGCCGTCAATGCGCCGCAAATCTGGCAGTTTGACGATTCCATCCTCAAAGGTAAGGGGCGCAGAGCGGACAAGACGAGATAATTCACACCCGTGATTACACATGCGAAAGTCACGTACTAATCTTTGCCGAACCCACAGGTCCCGAGCAATACAGCCTGTTACAATATTACAGCGAGATTCTCGACGATGTGGATGCCAAGGCCAAGGCAGGCTTCGACCGGTCCATTACTGATTACTGGGGTCGCATGCTTTCATACCAGCTCATCAATGCCACCAACGGCGGTCCGGGCTTTACCTACTCTTCCATCGCAAACGACCCGGGTTTCTCATCCGGCAAGAACCCGCTTCCCTTTATTGTTGCCGATGGTCGCGCCCCCGGGGAAAAGATCATCGCGTCGAATTCAACCATCTACGAGTTCACTCCCTGGGAGTTTGGGTCCTTCGACCCCTCGCTCCAAGGATTCGTGCCTCTTCAATATGTCGGCTCCAACTTCACCAACGGCTCGATTCCCGACAACCAAAAGTGTATTGTTGGCTTTGACAATGCTGGCTTCATCATGGGCACCTCGAGCAGTTTATTCAACCAGATTATCCTCTACATCAAGGACGGAAACAGCAGATACGTCCCCGACGACATTCCCAAGTTCGTCATTGACGCCTTGACAAGCTTCTTGAATGCTCTGGGCGATAAGAGCAATGACATTGCTGACTGGACTCCCAACCCTTTCAAGGGCTGGAACTCGGCCAACAATCCCAGCGCCAACGAGACCCGTCTCACACTCGTCGACGGCGGTGAGGATCTACAAAACGTCCCCTACCACCCACACTTGTTCCGCGAGAGGCACGTCGACGTGGTCTTTTCAATCGATTCCTCCGCCGACACGGACAGCAGCTGGCCGGACGGGGCGTCCGCCATCGCCACCTACGAGCGGTCCTTGCAATCCTCCATTGCCAACGGGACGGGGTTCCCCGCCGTCCCGGGCAAGGACACCTTCATCAACCTCGGGCTCAACTCGAGACCCGCCTTCTTCGGCTGCGACTCGTCCAACCTCACCACGCCGTCTCCGCTCATCGTCTACATCCCCAACTACCCCTACATTTACGAATCCAACATATCCACCTTTCAAATGGCCATCAAGTCGGACGAGCGCGACGCCATTGTCCAAAACGGCTGGGCAGTGGCCACACAGCTCAACAGCACACGCGACCCCGACTGGGCCGTATGCGTTGGCTGCGCCATGCTCGCCCGCAGCTTCGAGCGCACCAAGACGGCCGTGCCCGACAAGTGCAGGCAGTGCTACACCAACTACTGCTGGAATGGGACGCTCAACGAGACGAAGCCCGCGCCGTATGTGCCGAGTCTCTATGGCAAGCCCATCCTCACCAAGAGCTCGGGTGCTGCCGGTCAGGAATTCAGCACGATAATAACAACCGTGGGGCTGGTGGTTGTGGCTGTTACGGCGTTTAACTTGTAGAATGTTTATGAATTTATTTTCTTATTTTAGATATGGTTGGGATAGGATGGGAGTTTACTTTTTGTTTTTTCGAGTCTAGAATCGAAGTAAGGGGTCAGGGCTTTGGTTAAAAGACTGCATCAAAACCCAGCATACATGCACTGTACGTTATGACATGCTATAAACAAGAGTCACGAGGCGACATTCTGACTCGTGCACGATGACAACTTTTTTTTTTAGTGTGACTGCATGATGGTATTCGCCCAATACTATTCTAGTGTTGGTTGGAGATGCAAACGATTCAGGGTAGGTCGTGACGGCCAGCACACGGTTCCCGGTGATGTGAGAAACGACAAAAGGTAGCCACCATTTTTATTTTCTTTTGTTCCCCCCCATATACGAGCTCCACAGAAGTCATTTGACGTCGGTTGGTGACTGCTAGTCACCAAAATAAAAGAGGGTTGGGGGGGGGTTCGTTCTCCTCTGGGCTCTTCAAGAAAACACAACGTCCCTGCCCGTCTTTGCACTCTCCACCACGGCCTCAATGATGCGCAGCACGTCCCGCGCCTCGGAAGCCTTGACGGGAAGGTCCTCCTCCCTGCCGGTCTCGAGGGCCCTGGCAAACGCGGCGTAGAAGGCGCGGTAGGTCTCGGGCTCCAGGTCCGGCACCTTCTCCTCGCGGATGGCGCCGTCGTCGGCGACGCGGACCAGGCGCATGCGGCCCGGGTCCTCGCGGCCGAAGCCGGCGGCGGTGGGCTTCACGCCGGCCTTGAGCTGGTCCTCCTGGGGGTCGAGGCCGCGCTTGCGGAAGCCGCCCG